AAATAAATAAAGGTGATGCAAAAGAAAACAATGAGGCCAAAGAACTAAAGATTACAAGTCCTCCTCTTCCCTCATCTACTAATAATGTTAGATCTGACTCAGCACCGCTTGATGTTTTGGATTCCCTTTCGGCTAAAATCAACTTTTTACCGAAATTTGCATAGTTGTGAAGTGCAATAATCAGTGTTGTTTATAAGACGAATGTTGTTGGATTTCCCGAAACATTTTCGCTAGACACAAACCTCCAACCTAAGCTTAAGAGTTATGAGTTTAGATACTGCCTTACCTGTATGAGTTCTTGTATGCCGTTTCAAATCAAACGTATCGTTAAATCCTTTCCCACAAAAAGTGCACAAGTATCGTTTTAAATCTGAGTGACATTTCGTGTGTCGATTCAGCAGACGCTGCAGTGCAAATTTCTAAACAAAAAAGAAGAGATTTTTCTATGTATTGACTTCAGCATTTCGACGATTACCTCACCTTACCACAGACACGACAGTTGTACTGTCCATGATCGCTGGCTGTCGCTGTTGTATCGTCTCTCGGCGTTATTGCTCCCGTAGCAAGGGGATTTTTCATTCCGTAGCCGCCATTGACAAACTCTAGGGGTTGAGCTGGAAGGACCTGGAAGCGCTTAGGTATTTGCATGGCGCAATTTTTAGTATATATTACAAATCATGCTACTTTAATAAGCATGTTTTTATTGATGTCATTGTGATTTCTATAAAAGTAAATTTGAGCTCAAGAGCACTCTCCTATCTGTACACTTTAAGGTGAATATATGGAATGCATGGATCTAAATGCTCAAGCTGATTTTATTCCATAACATTAAAACCTGAGGGAGCCCCTTTGAACCCAAGTCATTACCAACGATTTTTACAGCATAAGCAACGTAAACCAACCGGAGGTAAAGCTTTTGGCAACTGAAGAAGCGGAGAAGGAGGTTGCTTCTCATCGTCGCGTGGTAACAATTGTTCCACCAAAAACTGCTTCGATTTGTCTGTTTTGATCAAGGGTGCTATTTGAGGAAACAGCGGAATTCGTGGGAACGGTCCAATTGTGAATGGATGCGGTAGCGGATGCGGAAGCGGGAAGAGTGGCGGAAATGGTGAGACGAGCGACAGCCAGCGCGTGTCCATTTACACTAAAATTTAATGTTTAATTACCGAATCTATAAATATCGACAGCGGTAAAAATAGAGGAGAAGTAAAGTCGAGAAAAGGAAAGACAGTGAAATCCAGTTTGGAAGGAAGAAAGCAAAAAAATGTTTATTTAAGAACTTACTCGAAAAACCGAGCAATCGACCTTGGATTCTATTGGAAAAGCGCTGTTCTTTTAAAGGGAAGACTACCACAAAAACAGCTGTAAGTATGGCCTTCAAACGTGAACTATAACAACTAGAATATTGGTTTGTAACGGTCGTTTCTTTTAAAAGTGTGAGAGACGAGGAGAAGAGGAGTTTTTCTGGTTTTCTGCCAAAAAGTCATGCCATATTTTGGTTAAATTGCCTTACACGTCATATTATTGTGTTCCATATTACTTGTTCCCCGAAATGTTTGGGTCATCTCTGTTATGTAGAACGGTACAACTTAAAAAGGAAGAGTGCGAGTTACTGACGATGTGAAAAGAGATGTACATCAGAGGATTAGTTCCAGAATCTCAATTTAGCTTTCCATAGCTGAGCGACACTTTTAATGGAGTCGCACATTTGTTCTCCTGCACAGTTCTTAGTGAATGCGCTGCACTGGAGGAACGAAGGCTATGCAATGCCGGTTATTTGCCGTTATTTATTTCTTCGAATAGTGATCGCGCTTCTACTCTAGAGAATTTCTTGAAAAATTGGTTCACCAATCATTTCAAAAGGATGAATACTTCTATTATTTCAGCTATAAATAAAAAACTAATACCTTACTCTAAGATTATGCTTCAAGAACATTCAACCTACGTTTTGTTACATTTCTTTTAAATATGTTCAACGGATGCTGATTTATTTTCAAGTAAAACGGATAATATTCTAGTTGAGCGCGATATATCAATTAGAGCGCTCAAATGCTTGGAACATTTGCTTAAATTAAATTTTTAGAAAATTCTATGCGAAAGCAAAGCTGTTAAATAGCGGCAAATAGCAAGAGTCGCTTAGTCTGAATTCCTTAGCCCAATGCTTCCGCTGCTTAGTTCCACAAAATGCGCAGCTTCTTTCAGACTGTCTTTCGAAAAAAAA